AATGACTTATGAGATGGGAAGGTCATTTATTTCGGCGAAGTGACCAACACCGGAGAAGAAACGGTCCTGGTTAGTTACAGGAATGGGCTAGTATCCCCGATATCCATGCCGATGGACCGAAGATCGCAAAGTCAAAGCGAAATGTTGGGATTATTAGGTTTAAATCAACGACATCCTCATTTCTTATCATTCTGTCATCCTGCCATCTTGACATAGGCTGCGTAACCTCACCACTTGATTTAACATACAATAAAGCGGCCTCCGTAGTCTAGGGGTAACGTTGCCACCTCATGACTCAAGGTACGCGGGTTCAAATCCGGCGGAGGTCGTGGAATTTTTAAGGGCGGAAAAATTCAGGGAACAAGTCCTCCGGGAGGGACTTTAAGCCGTGGGTTCCGTGTCGTAGATTTACGGCACGTAAAAGATCCTCATGTCTCTAGGAGACCTCTGAGCAAAATTAGGCAACAAGTTTCCCGTCCAAGTAGTTTCCAGTGCCTCTGGTAGATAGGGGAAATATCAGGTACCGAGGGCCAACCTCGTTGGCTGAACGGGGCTGATAGCACGCACCAGTACCCGTAGAGTATGGCGACAGTAGAAATNAAACTAGTTACTGTTTAGTTTCGTGCCCAAGAAACTAGTTGGCAAAACTCTGAAATGGCCGGCGGGTCGCTGACTGTGTATCCGCCGGCTTAGTCAGCCAGAGCCTCACGGGCAGGGCATTAAACTTTACATACTATTAAGTACTCTTTATGAGACTACTAGTTTGTGCAGTTTGATGCCATGGACTTCCCTCCCTAAGTCTAATAGGGCATGGAATGGCATTTTAACCTTGAGACTCAAGAAAACTGAGCAGGCAGTGTACAGTCCGAGGCCTACTGCTCACCTCAGTAAGTTAGGGACTGATTTCTTTGGGAGGAAACTAAACAGCATTTACAGAAAAAACTAAAGAGAAATACTTTTAAAAATAAACATTTATGTTATATAGTACGCTGCCGCCGAAACGTGTAGGATATGAGGTTCTCACAGCGTTGGTTATGGAGAGTTCTGTGTAGCACGTTAAAGTCAGCCGACTTTTCGGAAGCGACATGCTCCTCCGAAACGTCAGTTAACTCAACGGTTTGCGCGGCGTTATATCCCACAAAATAGAACTTAGCCGCCGAGACTTTTATGACAGAATCTGTACCAAGCCTCCTGCTGACGTTCGTCTTTCATACAGAAATAATATTTAAGTTGTAGGAGCTTGCATTGTTATATGTTTTCACAATGTTAATGTCAATAGATGTATGTTTGTTTATGTAGAAAAGCCATAAAAATGTATTCCATATGTTATAAATGTTATTGTGTATTATAAATAATTCAGCGGAGTCCTGATTTAAAAGCTAACAGTCGCTCAGCTGATCAAGAAAGTTCCATGATTTTTATGGAACCGGAAGTTCACAAGAGCCCGCCACCTGATTCTGAGCCTCATGAATCCAACCCACACCTTCACACCCAATTTCTTTGACGTCCGTTTTAATAATATTCTCCTATTTATCGCCGATATCTCCAAAGTGATCTTTTTTCTTTTCTTTTCAAATCTTCCGACTGAAACTTTGTATGCATTTCTTATCATTCGCATCTCACCAAAAGTGATATTCACCCCCAACACCCCCAGTTTGTATGCTTCCATTAGAGTGAGAAAGTAACTGCCATACATGTACAAAACAACACACAGAATTGTTTTATTTGCGGTAGGAGTCACGGAGACAAAACATTCTGATCGTAATAAGTTTTCATCGAATTCACTCAAAATGTATGGCAGTGAATTCATTAATGCAGTTGTGATTTGTTATTGTCGTTCAAAAGTATTAGAGCTTTTCCATATTTCAAAGGATTTGTTACTTCTCTTTGTGTTAGGATATTTTACCCTTCATTTTTCAACGGGAAATCAACACTGCGATCTCTCTATGTTTATTTCTATACCTGCCCCTTCACTAGTACCTAATATAGTTTCACAGTTTTATGGAGTGTGCCTATAGACGGGGTTTGGATTGGTAATCGAATTTATTGTACACTTATACAACTCGTTACTACACTCCACAAATCAATATTACATACGGATTAGTGTTCTCAGTCTGTTAGTCTCCACTAGCCGTTGCTTTGTAGCTGCTTCCAACGGTGGACGTACCCCTTCCTCCCGGTTCCCGAACTATTCCCGGCCACAGCTACCAGCTACTTAGAGTAACAGCTCACAGCGACTGAACTGCAGTTCTCTAACTCACCAACCAACTACTTCACTAACTCACTCCTCACTCATAGACTAAGTTGTCCTGCACGGATTGCATAGAAAACATCGCCACTTTGTTTCAGTGTAATTTTTGGGTTCATGTGTTATCTGTGACTTTACCTGAGTACCACATAGCTTCCATGTTTCCTTCCTTACGATATTTATGCTTTAATTCACTAAATTACCACCATTTATGTTGACCAGAAGTTGACGTCTCTTCAGTTGCAGTCCCCACCTCACTGATATTATTGTTATGTCATCGTATTTTTGTTGTTGATGGTGTTGGTGCACTGACAGTTTTGCGATTTCTAGCCGAAGAAAAGAAAAGTAGATTTATGAGGTTTTCCGTAGGTGTATGTCTCCATTTCAACGTGTGAAATGGCTGACATCTTCTCGAGATTTAGTATGAACCTTATGAAGTTGGAGACCAACCCCACGTGGTACCTATTTCCAACAATGTGGTGGACTCGAAAACGTATGAGGTGAGAATGACATAAGCGTGACATGTATATTCCTCAAATTATGTACGATGACAATGGATCTTGAAAAATATGCTACTTTCATTGCGTTTATTTTTAAAATATACTTGTAAATTGATACGGCTGCCCGACAATTATCTTTAGTTTTCGGGGTTTCACAGCGGTAACTAAAGATTGGTTTTGTTTAGCTATTTTAAATTTGGTGCGAAAATAGCTCATAAACGTACCCGCATATTACGTACGAAATATTGTTTGTACAAGTTAGAAGAGTGGTGACGATGCGTATCTTTGAGGTTATAGAGCTAACCCATAATTATGACGCTAAAGTAGAGAATATGTAATTTAGTAATACGTTCTTCGCACAAATACGAGTAATATAAAACAAAATAGCAACAGTATCTATAGAACTGGAAGTCTATGATACATGAAATTAGCCTTTGTGAATTCTGGCCGAAAGTCCCTTTTATTTACGTATTTACTTTCATGAGATAGGCCGAAATGTTACTCTCGGGAGGGGGGGAGGTGACAGTGGACAATAATGCTGTGTTTTATGACCGAGATTTGTACAGAAACTGGAAAGAATGGTAGGAAATCACATTTGGTTAGAAAAGCTATTACCATATTAACCAGAGATGTCGGAAGTTGATCGTTGAAGCTACCGAATTAAAGAATAGTGTGATATGACGCCTGAAGGCTGGAGTAGTGGAGCCAGAGGATACATCCATTACTATGCAACGGCTCGGTAAACAAGTTTCCGCGGTAACGGTTACGCAAGCAGCAATAGAGGAATTGTTGGGAACGATGTTTCCTGTTCGGCCCGTACAAGGTGGTTATAAAGAGATCAGTTGAGAATCGGAAGTCGAGTTCCCGAGTTCCAAGTGAGCGGTTAGTCGAGAGTTGAGCTCTGCAAGGAAGGCTGAGAAGAAGACTCTATGAGTTCAGTTGGCAGTCGGGCTGTGAAGAGAAGACTTTACGTGTGCTGTAGTACAGTGATATTTGGAGTATGTAATTCAGTGAGACTGTTGTAGTTCCTATGTTAAATCCGTTGCCAGGAAAGGGTTAGCGGAGACTGTAATAGACTTGAGGACACTACTGTGTGTAACAGTGAATTGTAAAGTGTAGGAATAGCTGTGGCCCATTATATATGTTTGTAGTACGACCAAAGGTCAGTAAATCCAGTAATCAAAACTCTTAGTTAGTAGTTTAGTTTTAAGTTTAGCTTAAGCTCCTCCCTTTCTCCCACCAGGCCCTAACCTATTCATATACGGAGGGCTACTAATGAGCTCCCCTCCACACGTCATTTTACTCAATTCACAACAATTTGCCAAATGTATTTATACAGATTGAAATAAATGGGGATCTCAACAAAAAATAAGTAATCAAAACCCCCGTCTATAGTCATGCACCCCTAAAACGTGACAATAGCAAATGGCAGTTTCTATGTATCCGCAAGTTGTTTGTTTATTTATTTGTGTGTTATTTGCTTTCTTTGATTATGTTGGTTCCCTTATTTGTCATTTCCCTCGATTTGTTTCCGGAAGCATCTGAAGTTAAGAAGCCCCTTTTGGGTCCAAATATTCTTCTCAACATCATTCTCAAACACATGCAGTCTATGTTCATTCCCTAATGTCAGAGACGAAATTCCACACCAATACAAAACTACAGGCAGAATGTTTGTATATTTTAATCTTTACATTTTTAGACAACAGGCGAGAAGCCAGAAGGCTCTGAACTAAACGTTAGGAAACATAACCTGAATTTAATCTGCTCTTGTATGTGATTTTTTTTTACTGCAGTTAGATTTTTTTAAGTACCCTGTTCGAGCTGTTAGGTGTCATAGGCTACAAGAACAAGGAAAGACTGGTAGCATTCTGTTTGTTTATTGTTTCTTTAACGGCGCATTTAGTAAATCGATTTATGCAGCGTAAAGTAATGGAATCGCTGGTGAATTTTGCATTGGAAAGCAGTGGAAGAAAGCGATTGTAGCGTATCTGTGGTACTATCCCAGCAGTTACGTGGAAGATGTAAAAACAAAAAGGCACGAGAACCGTCATTTAGGATAGATGGACTTCGGCCCGAGTTTTGAAACTGGGACATCCAGATTACTAAGTTGGATCTCTAACCGCTCGTCGCTGATATTCTAGCCCAGGCAATTTCGGTTTTGAGATTAGTGTTCTTGTTTTTTAAACACGCTGATTCATACTGAAATAAATACGCAGTGCTGCACCCTCACTCACATTGTACTTCCTGCGCAGCCCTGGCGCCCCGTGGAACGGGTCCCCGCTGCAGTGCCCCTGCCCCGTCGCCGGGCCCCCTCGACTCCAAGACGAACAAGATGACGAACCTGAACCGCATCAGGGTCGTCGTCCTGGGCAGCGCCCGCGTCGGCAAGTCCGGTGAGTGACAACATTGCACAAATGTCATGCTTCTGCTTAAGATTTATTCTACGAGTATAGTAGTGGTGGTGGGCCTTTTGAATCCTAATGTTAGAATCAGGCCTGCACGAAGCAAATGTTCTAGACTTTCCTTTTTTTGTCAGCTAAAGTAAATTTATATATTCGTCCTACAGAATTATAAATATAAAAAGGAGAAGCGGAGGCTTATTGAGTTTGAGGTGTGAAGTCCTGTAGGAAATTTTAGTTGATTCAGCTTTTATTTTTAGGAAATCTTTATTTCTTGGAAATAATTTTGCTCTGTGATTGATTGACTTAAGGTATAGATCTGTTGAATACTGCTAAGAATAACACCTGCGTTCCCGTTCAGAAAAATCTGCACTGTAATTCCAGAAACTATTTTTTCTTATAATCACCTCATAACCTAGTGTAAACGCGTGTCCGTGCCTTTCAAAATACCTTACGTGTACGATTGCATAACACAGTTATGCAGGAAACAGAAGTCATACAGAGTTATCGAAACCAGTTGTACATGCAATTAGTCAAGGTGAAACCATGCATGTGGAAGCACAAGAGGCTTGAACTTGACGGTAGTCAGGCCTACGACCGTTCAAGTGACCAAGTGCCGTTTCGGAGTGGTAAAATAAGTTAAGGCACAATCCGCTGCAGAAGCCTGCATTAACAGATGTCCTGTAAATATGTTACATAACATATAAACCCAGTTTATTCAGTGCAGTAAAGTGACAAAACGTGTATGGTGTTTATAAAGTACAAACACACTTACCTGGATGCTGCATGAGTGTGTGGGGGGGGTACACTCGTGTGAAATTACGGTGCAGCAAATATGGTACCTACTAAGAAAGGCGGACTGCCCCTTTCGTCGAAGAGGAGACCCCAATTCAAAACACACAAAACTGTCTTTGAACGAACACAAATTAGGTCATGGGTCCCGACGGGGCTCGAAATCAAGAACGGCTCTTCTGGCGAGGGCCAGCAGGAATTTGCCAGACTGGGCTTGACTGTAGACGCGTCCCCTTACCGTGGTTACTATACAGCATGTTAAATTTACATAATCACTGTCGTCACGATCTCCTTGTCATCTCTTTACCATGGTTACTGTATAAGTGAACAGTACCCATACTTGTTATCAGGATCCCATTGTTGGCAAGATATGAGTGACTCTCGACGGGCGTTTGGGTTGGTGATTGGATTTATTGACCACTTACAGGTCGTAACTACAAGTAACTGCAGCGCTATCATTAATTTCCACACTTCACACATCACTACAGGATACGCTAAGTCTTTTCAGTCTGCTCTGTCTTTAGCGGTCGTTCCCTGGTAATTGCACCTAACAGTGGTGATTCTTCACTTTCCACGCCCAGTTTTTTCTGACTGCACCAACGAAGTCTACTCTTCGCAGACTCCCTTACAACTGATTAACTTCCGGGTCTGAATCTTATGTTACGACCGACGGTCAGCCGGCCAGTCTGTCTTGGAATAAAGCACCCATCTGGGACTTACGACTAGTTTTTATCACTGTCAGACAGTTGCGGGTTTGTTGATGTGGGGCGCGCTCTCTGACGAGAGGACGGGTATGTCGTTTACAATTGTTGCTGGCCCTCGCCAGCGCAGTCATCCTTGGTTGCGAGTCCCGGGAGACTCATGACCATATTTTACTGTCTCAGCAACTGAATAGCTTCTAAATTTGTCTCGGTTATGATATTTCGGCACGAACCGCGTAGAAAACGCCGTTCCTATGTTGTACGTCAATCGTTTCCATGGGAACATATTTGTGAAGGCGTTACTCGGTAACGGCTATGTACACTTATTAAGAATCTGTTGCCTGTCATCAGATCTTATTTCATTGTTTGTTTCGAGTTCGTTACCCAGTAACGGGTCTCCACGCTACAGTATTAAATCAGTGTTGAGAAATATGGTATGTGTGTTGGATTCTTCTGGTCCACAATCCAGTGTCGGATGTTTATCAACAAGGTAATGGACATTCTGGTTCTATAAAAAGTATGACACATTAACCGAGCGGCTGTTAGCTTTGCAAGGAATGCACCATGGGCTTAGATGCGAAGTACTTCCTTCAAAAGTAATATTGGTTTTGAAGAGTACTATCTTCTGGGATATAACACAATGTAGTCCGTTGAAAGTCAACCGACGTTTCGCAGAAACACATCGCCACCGTCTTCAGGGTCAGAGACAGAACCCCTTGGGTGTGGATCTTCGGCAGCCTACACAGTGTCATGGGCCTGGAATCCTGCAGTCGAAGTTGTTGGCTGACTTCCTCAGAAATTGAGGATTTCTTCAGGATATGCACTGTCTTGGGCTCCACAGACTCAGTTAGGCGTCGTCGTCCGTAAGGGCAGCGATCTTCCGATTGTAGTCTGCAGTATGCAGTACCACAGTCGCACTGCCCATGTCAGCGAGAAGATCCGTGAACACCTCGTTGGCTTTCAAGGTTCGTTGGGCCCTCCGCAACTCAGGTTGCCCTTAGATTTGGGGGAGCCTTTTGGGTTCCTAACGGACTTCTGCCTCACCTCTTCAGCTGTCCATTCCGGCAGGGCCCCTATCGCCTTCCCCACTCCTCACAGGCTATCTGCAACAGGCACAACCGCCTACTTGCTCAAGGCCGAGGAAGTTGCTTCCTCCAACGGCACTTCGCACAGATTGACGACAGTTTTCTTTTTGTCGGGGGAGGCGGGTGCTGGTTCTTGTGCAGGCGCTGAAACTTCTTCCAATGCTCGGCTATTCAGTTCTCAGGCCCCAATCATCGGCGGACAGCTCCTCGACCAAGCACAGATGTAACTCCAGCAGCTCTTGGCAGATCGCGTCCAGCTCCCGTCTGGTTCGATGGATGCGCTTACGGAGAAGACAGAATCTAGTACGTCTGTAGATCCTACTGGCAACATCAGTTCGTATATGGTGCTGGAACTATAAGCAGCGAGGAATGGTGTTTTGTTCCCTGCGCCTGAGAAGAAAGGGAAGGCTGGTCTTCTTGATCAGCAACTTCTCGAGTCGTCGAATGTGTCGATGAGGAACATTCATAATCATTGCTGTGGGAACCTCAAATCCTACAAAATTAGTTTTAAACGCAGTGGGCATAAATAAATAGAAAGTTGTATTTCTATTATTGGCCTAATATTTGTTACTGATGAATGAAATATTTCTTCATTATCGAAAGTAAAGTTATTCAAGTAGATTGCCTCTTATATTCATGGATACACTTTGAACTACCTCATGAATTATAACGGATTTGCGAACAATTTGCCTAATAGTGTGCTACACGATATTGTATGCGTTATGCAGCGGATACGGGGTTCAGTTCCATATGGGAGCTTTAACCTTCAGTATTGACATCGGCCTCCGAATCCGCAGGGCTGTTGCTGAGTCATTTCGTCCCTGTCTCAAACCAAGTGTGCCCGTATCGGCTGTACAGAATTTGGAATGTTCTAATGATTTATTCATAAGGAGGGCTTTGAAGCAGAGGGTTGGGCCTATTGATATTTCGTATTTGAGTCTACATCCCGCGCGTGTACGGTGATCTGAACTGTAGCAAGAACATTATGCATTAAGGTTGAAACACGGAATGGAGATTTGTTTGAAAATAATTGGAACACATTTGATATATGTAACTCACAGTTACATAATACTCCATAATGATATTCATATCCCCTATGCTCCAGCATGCAACTTTATGTCGATCGGGAGTTATTTAGGGTCATTTTATGTGATGCAGCAATTTTTAGAAAGGTTAAATAACGCAAACTAGATAATCTAATGAAAGGAAGGAACACAGTTAACTTCATCAAAGCTCAAAGAATAAGTTGGCTTGGACATATCTCAAGGATGGAGGCTGGACGAACAGTTAAAAGAATACACGTATATGACTGGCAGCCTCACGCCATAAGAAGGAGGCCGACCTAAGATTAAATTGAAAGATGACATAAGGGTTTAGGAATTAATAACTGGATAACTTGCACACAGGGCAGAAGTAGTTGGAAGGAAATTGTTGAGCAGACCAAAGCGTTCAAGAAATGAAGCTGTCGAGCCTTATGAGAAGTAACGCATCTATGTTACATTTCTTATTCCCGGAAGTTTCTCGTTTTTATTATTCATTATTGTTATATGATTACAATCCATCCAAAATTACATCGTTTGATATATTACATATAATCGCCGTGCATTTGGAGTGGCCTTTCCACATGTGTCCGTTTGGGGTCAGTGAATTCGTAACTTTTGATCGTCTGTACACTTGTATTAATTTCATTCCTTTTGAAGTTCATTCCACCGGTATATTTTATTGCATTCTAGGGTACCCGTGAAGAAAAATATGTACTGCAATTTGAAAAATCATTGTAGGCACGTTCGAAACCCTACGGAATGCCTATTAATTTTGTTCCGCCCGTCTGCATTCATTAAATAAGAGCGGCCGGCGCGTAAGGCTGACAGCCTTACCGCCATCTGTGAGCCGATTTTCTAGAAAAAATGTAGGAGCCTCGACGTCTCACAACCCTGTGGGCCTTCAAGGCCTGTTATAGGAGTAGCTTTACCTTACTCAAGAGAGGCTGAACAAATTTTCATGAAATTATTATTGGGGAGCTTTACCAAACTACGTTAGAATATTCAGATTTTAGCGAAAATCGGACAAATATAACGGACAGTTGTCAAGAAATCATGCATGTATTTGTGTGCTTGTGTAGAGCATAGATAGCTAAATTTTTAATGGAGCTAAAAATGTTTCTCTTTTCTTCGATACTAATTAAATGGAGCACTTCCAATCAGAATATATATATATATATAAAAGGAGGCCTATAAATTTAATAAAATATAACTGTTCTAAGTGCCGAAGTCTTGTATTCCTCGAAATTTTAGGCAGATCTACAATAAAACGACTGCTTCAGTTGCTTCTGTAAAAGGTCGCAAGTGAGAGAAGAAACAAAGCAAAAGAGAAAGCAGTGATTGAATTTAGACTGCGTTGGAACAATTTATTTATT